GATGGCCTAGATTCCAGCTCGAGGATAGGGATGGCCTAGAACCCGACTCGAAGAATTTGGCCGGGGGGGGGGGGTTACTTGCACATTAAGTGGGTAAGGGTGTGCAGCCCACCTCTTGTAAACCATACTCACTTTTAAACCATTTTTTTCAGCGCAAAATAAAAACCCCCAGCTTTCAACTTTTGCAACCCGTGAAAGCATCCGGGCGATGCATTTTATTCACCTTTTCCAGTTTTTGGACCTGTGAAAAAGTAAATAAACGCTACCACCTTTTAAACCAAAACCTTGATAAATGACCCCCCCACTTTTAAACAAAAAACGTGAAATGACATTCCAGTTGGGCAGCACATACCCGTATTGCACTTTTATGGAGTGCCCCCCCCCCCCCCTCGGGGGGGGAGGTGGTGATCTAGAACCAAACTCGAGAGAGATTGGGATGACATAGAATCCAACTTGGGGGATAGAGATGACCTAGAACTAAACTCGAGGGATATGGATGACCTAGAACCTAGCTCGAGGTATAGGGAGGACTTAGAATTCAACTCGAGGAATAGGGATTACTTAGAACCCAACTCAATTTGCTACTTAAATGCATTCTTGTTTATTTATCATATTCATACTCGCTAGTTCCAGTTATCCAGTTATGTGTAGTAGGGAAAACAGCACACAATACAAAAAAAACTTTACATCTTCATTGTTAGAGTATTTATTTAGTGTTGTCATCAATCACCCACTATCCCACGCTGATGTCCCGTAGAACGCCACAGAGGGCGCACGATACGCATTGCTCCCACTAAAAGTTCCTATTGAGCATTGACGACAAAAACATTGTCTCGCGCATTATAAATGTGTTTACTCATTGATAAAAGTTTAATTTAGGCCACCGCCTCATCCTGTGACAGTACCTATTCTTTCCAGTGGCAATTAAGTATCTGTATTTTAAACACATGCTTAGTTCCATAGAATGAATCAATACTAGCTAATGTTGTACCGAAAATGTCTCGAAACTGTTAACGTTATACGCACTATTGGAAATTGTTAGTTCAAAGTTGTTTTAAAAATAAAAAGTATGAATAACACCAAAGCAATGATTTATATGTCGCTGTTGACATTTAATAGTAATGTCGTTCTTACATCATGTGCTAACAGATTCAAATATGTCAAAAGTTACGAGTAGTATTCCTTCCCGATAGATTCAGCATTTTTGTGTTTTTTTTTTATCAATTATGGCTGTTGCTTGTACATTCTTATACATTCTTCCATTCTTGTACATCAAAGTACTTGTAAGAATTTTTCCTTGTTTGTAGGGCGGTTGTACGTCAACAATTTATATAGATCAATAATGTCATCCCATTTTAAGACATCACGAGTTGAATTCCCGATTACCTCACGAGCTAGGTTCCACAAAGCATTTAATAGTCTCTGCCTCCAATTGTAACCAAAAGCAAATCACTATCATTTGTTTAACAACCTTACTTGCGCATGACGTCAATATCAGAAATATGGAAAAAATTGGGGAAACATCATTCGTAAAAACATAAATAAAAAAACGAAATGTTCATTCATAGAAGGGTAGCAGTAACAGCGATATATGTCTACCATCCCATTGTTATCACCACGTCTTCACTTCGTTGCTGATGCGACAAGTTAGTGCTAGCGCCCTCAACGTCCACTTTGTCTGAACGTCTACATTCTCTGTCAAGAAAAGATACATATGTTAGAATATGTGATTTTACAGAAAGAGTTTGGTTTATTTTACCTTATTTAAAAACAATAATTTCCAAAATAACGACTTCGATTAACTTCTTAAAATACTAGTATTTAATTACAAGAAGTACATGACAAAGTTTCCGATGATTGGTATTAATAAAAGAAACCCGTAACAATGGGGGAAGGGTGACCCCCAGACTTTTCAGGCCGCCCAGAAAATTTTTCGAAAAAAGTATACATCATTTCTCGGATTATACTTCCATTTTCATAACATGCGTATGAAGTACATGAGACATTTTTTCGCCAAGGTAATTTTTTATGGTTTGAACAACGCTTTTTAGTCAATAACAGCTACAATTGTAGATCACTTTCCGGACGCTTTTGCTCAAAAAAAACACCATTTTGTTGCACATGTGTATAAGGCTCTCCGTTTTCTTGGGACCCGGGAGTAATGACCCATCGAACGGGACAATATTCCCGCATTGCACTGTGGGATATACTTACTTACAACAACACGTGCAAAAGCAAATCGAATCCAGAATGATGTCACACCAGAACTTGGCTCTCTTTTTGACTCTACCGACAAACTTGAACGTGTCCGACTGACAGTAGCAACACAGAAACACCAACACGATTACGCTGCCGCATGATGCACCCACAACTATGGCAATAGTTTTGAACCGTTCTTTCCTGAGAACAAAACAACTGATACGTATGATATCAAATAAGCTTTGAAAAAAAAATGTGGTCAGTGCACGGGAACCTCAATACGCATAGGCGTGATTCGCGAAAAAAGTTCCTATACATTTTCATCATGGCAAAAACAAGTCCGAAAACTTGTTAACGATTTGTGGCTAAGATGGCTCAAAATCAAAAGTGCTATCAGCATTATGACCCCAACAACAGCAAAAACAACAACAACAACAACAACAACTATCATCAAAAACTTACTTGGTAGCGTCTTGCTCGCTTTGAGATTGGCAACAACTGTAGTAATTGCCGTCAGCATCTGGCCTGTCGTTATAGCAACACTCTGTATACGTGTTAATGTTGTTATTTTCGTCTTCTTCTGGACAAATGTACGTGTCTCCGTCTGAATAATCTGGATCTACCGGACATACGGTGTCTGCTGCCTTTGCTGTCATAGAAACAGAGGAGTTTATGTCTCAGGCTAAACCCGGTTGTAGTTTTATGACGAAACATTTCATTTATTTGTTCAGAAACGTGAGTGCGACACCATATGCACACAAGTAAAACAAGTGAAAGACATCGACACTTTCTCTCGGTGTTAGTAACTATTGGCAACTGTTAAACATTCCCAAACAACACCATATATTATTAAATTAAAAACGTTGTTTTGTTCGCGCACAACATAGTTTTCAGTTGATGGCGTCATGAACTACTTAAGTGGCCCTACGTGAAGATTTGCCTTATTAATAAAAAACGCGTGTTTTTACGCTTTTTGTAATTTCGTCGTTAATATTTAAATTTAATATGCAGTAAAAATAGTTTAGTTTTAGATTATTCATAATAATACTAGCGGTGTAATTAATGTTTCATTGTACTAATATCGCAAACACATACGCCATTCTTTTAATTTTTATAAATAGAAACCCCTCATTTTTTATATAATAACTAACAATCAAGAGAATAGGTTTGTGGTCGCGGTAGTAATGTCATGACTTCAATTGATTGTCTAAATGACAAACACGAGAAAGAAAAACAGCAAATTCTAATAATCAGTTTAAATATTCTGAATAGCTTGATGTCACTCTGTTGAAACGTATTGCACAGTTACAATTCTGTTACTACTCGGACCTTATACTCACCTGTAAGCACTGCGGATAAGAAAAATAAAACTACAAGTTTACCACGAGGCAGCGAATACCCCTCCATTCGATGCCTATTTACTAATTGGTCGCCACCAGAGTACTGTGTACGAGCCAACTAAATTATTTCAGAAATATCTCACGTACAATTTTATTGTCAAAGTAATATTTGACTTACTTTATTACAATTGGCGTTATTGTAAATCTGCCCTGTAACATGAATATATTTAACTGTTACTGTGAAGACAAGTTTCTGATACTATGGCATCATAAGCCTAGTTGAATATAATTCAGTTTTTTGGGGCATTTTCATGTAATACACATATCGATCTGCTGTGACCTGTTCGCAAGGCAACATGAACAATCGATTGATCGATTTCACTGACAAAATACACAAAATATCCTTCCGTGGGATCAAGCAGGTGTTTTTTTAACCTTGCCTTCGAGGGCGCTATTCAACAACAGACAACATGGCTGCGTACATGGTGGAAATGTGTTTTGTGATCGCCTTGACAGAATACTCTGATACCACCAGAATTGTACGCATACAGAAATCATAGAGACTGAATATGTACTCAGAGATCAGGTTATGAACTATTTTGTTCATGATCAACGCCATTTTCAAAGTTTAAAAGGTAAAACTCTCCCGAACTTCGGAATCTGAACCTGACTCGACCATTATCATCTGTCGCTGCTCCACTTTTCGCTGTAGTGGCTGCAACAAGGGTGTCACAAACCAGCAGTGAAAACAAGTTCAATGTAACAACACTCGGCGCAAACTAAATAATATACACCTCTTGCAGTTTGTGTACGCTGTCGATGCAGATATTCCCAGGCTAGTCATGATGACAAGGGTTGAACCATTTATAATTTGGGGGTGATTCTTTAATGTCATCATTATACTTTTCTCCCCATAAAATATGTTGGGTTTATAAAAATGTGGAGCACACCACTATACGTCTTAAAGGTCGATGGTCGTCGCATCGCGCATGTGCAGCATTTTTGTTGATAACATTGATTTTCCCCACATCCAAATTCGCTCTTTCAATGAAAATAACAAGTTTTGACCTGGGCGTGACATGAACTAAGTGCTGTCTGTCGGTGACTCCTTTGATGCCTTTCAATTATCAAAGAAATTACTTAGTTAAATCTTAGGAACTTCTCAGTTTGTACTCGTTGGTATCAAAGTCGCCATCATTGTTAATATGGGACCCATATCATAGTGCATGCGTGGCGCCTACCCCTCTATAGTTCAATTTTCCATCCTTTGCAAAATCCAAAATGGAGTCAAGACATTCCTTCCCAATCTCTTACCTATAGGTCTTTGCGCTTCACACAATGATAAGTAACGCGCATCGAACTGTGTGAAGTTTGATTTCTTCCCTTTAGTGTAAGCACAATGTAGGTAAAAACCAATAGAAAAACAATAATAGAATCGTAGAGTATGCACATGCACAATTACCGGTACCATGACAGCATCATTTTAATCGTTAATTCTCTAAGTATATCCATTCAATGAGTCAAACTGTGATAGTGGCTATGTCCATATTAGGGCATTACATGACATCATTACTGTACATTATCAGACTATTTATTGTGATCACTAAATCATGTTTTATTGGCAAATTCTGCTCATTTGCATAATGTTAGGCGAATAATAATGTGTTATAGTGAGGACTTAAAAAAGAATATGATATTTGATGCAAATTAGATTGCAAAATCTAATCACAGTTAAAACTAAAACATTTACAGTGATTTTCAGTCAGTAATTAATGATTTCATCTAATTTTTGTTTTAGGACATAAATTCAGGATACAGTAAGGTATGAGGAAATTACCGTCATTGTTCCGTTCAATCTTAAGTCATCCAAATCTATCTGGGGTAATCGTCAGATGCAAATACTCACTTAAATTGTGGGATGGAAAGAGTGTTTTACCATTCACAAGTGCATATGCAATTAGGTGTTTATCTTGCACCAAAAAGGTTTGGAGTAAATCCTACCAATCCACTGGCTTTGGGTCAGAAAGCAAAGAACTTGATTCAAACGAGGAACTAGAGCTGATTCAAGGTCCCCAATTTGAAGATGAAGAGTTACAGTCTCACTACGAGCGACATCACTTATCCCCAGTGTCCGGACACAAAGTATTTGTCATTCAGCCAGAAGTGAAATGGGGGCCGAGAAAACAACACCTAACGACAGGAGATTTACAACGACAGGAAGCTGTGACGCTTATTGAGACGCTAGAAAACTGGTCAGTTGTTGATTCACTGACGGTATCGCTCAAGAAACCGGGTCATAAGCATGTATTCGGCAAGGGGAATTTTGCTATGTTGACGAACCTCATAAAGTCGATGAGTAGCGTCACTGCAGTGTTCATGAGTGTTGAAATGCTTACTGGACTGCAACACAAACTTTTGGAAGAAGCATGGGGTGTTCATGTTTATGACCGCTATACAATTGTGTTGAATATTTTCAAGGAGCATGCTGTGACGAAAGAAGCAAAGCTTCAGATAGCATTAGCAGAAATTCCATATCTAAGGTAACTGAATTTGAAAATTTTCCCTAAGGAAAGATCACACAGTCTGGTACTTTCTGTAGACACAAGTCAATGAGAATTTCGCAATAAAAATTTTCACATGAACTTTCAGGTAGTTTGCTACCATTAAAACGAGAACAGATTTCCTTGATGTTCACACTATGGTTATTTTATGCTGTTCACAGATAAATATATATGCTCAGGGGTTTTTCTAGAAAAAAAAAACTGCAAGAGGGAGCACTACAATTCAGCGGTGCCACCAAGTGGGGGAGATAGGGTTCTCCCTACCAGGGTGTGGCGTTATTGATAATTGTAAATTAAAATGGCTTTCTTGGGGCCAAACTTACTATCAGACACGTCACAGTTGAAGATTGTGGCCACATTTGATCCCTGGTCAATCAGAATTTTATGGTTGCCAGAGGATTTGCTCCCCAGGGTAAGGGGGCATGGCCATGGCATGAGGCCCCGCCTTCCCTTGTTTAAACAAAACCCCTGATGCTAACAAAACACAGAATAAATTTCCATGAAAGTGGTGATTTGTGAGCCATTTACTATTGGTTCTTATGGTAAAAATGCTATCTATATTTCAAAATGTCATTTGGTCACATATGGCTGGAAATTATAAGTATAAGATGGGTTGTTCAGAGTTACTGAGACATTTTGATTATTAGTGTTAATTTTTTTTTATATAAAATAATGCTTTATTCTGGTTTTCATGAAGATTGTTTCAAAAATGTCAATTTTTTCATCTTTTAGGCAGGTTTTCTTCACATAAAAATTTTGACAGATTGTTTGACATTTTGCGATCTACCTTAATGCATAGTTTTAGCCAGTGCGCCCTCTAAGCTAATATGATGCAGAAAGGTTTGCTGTGATGCAACTAATTATGTTAATTCATTGATGCATAATTGATGCAACTGACATAAATCTTATGATGCATACATCGAACATTGGTAAAACAAAATTCACAATTTATAAAAAAAAATAAGTGTAAATATGAAGGAAACCACATTATTCCGTTTGTGCCTTAAGTTACATACTTTTTTATTCTTTTATTGAAGTCCTTTCTTCCCGGTAGTCATTAGACTCAATTGGATTTCCCCTATTATGTTGGGATGCCAACAAAATAGGTCCTTCTAGACAGCATGTACATTTGTGTTAGCATTCTGACATAAGGGCCGAGTTGCAGATGCAAATCAATTTGTATTTTATTTTCAGATCTCGTTTGAGAGGTATGGTTTCAAATATGGACCAGCAAAGTGGTGCTCAACAGTATATTGGTGGGGGTGGTGAGACTTTGCTAGAAGTGCAGAGACGGATGCTGGATGAACGGGAAATGAAAATAAAGAAAAGGTTATCCAAGCTGAAGAAAAGACGAGAATTATTGAGGACCATCAGAAAAAAGAAACAATTTCCAACTATATCGGTCGTAGGTTACACAAATTCAGGTTAGATGATGCAGTTATCCATTGTGAATTCTTTAAAACAGGTGTTAGTTGTTGAATTTATCACAAGCATGAGAAATTGTATTTCCAATTTTATGGCATGATCGGCAAGAGCATTATGTGTGAAGCATATTGTATAATTTCGCAGTTGATACCTTTTCAATGGTGATCTGTATGTCAACCAGTTGTGAACTTCAGGTCATTCATGTGTGAATCACCTAGTGATGTTATGTTTAAAGCAAAAGAAGCCTATCAAATCAGAGATTGAACAAACATACCCAATACAAATGGTGCAGTTTCAGGCATTCAATGGCATGCAATAAAAATACATTCTTCCATATTAGTGGTGTTCATGTTACAGATCGCAACACGTGTCGAGTGTCTGGATCGAGTTGGCTCATGCAGAAATGTGTGTGTGAATGGTCAAAACCTTGTCGACACATGTATAAAAAAACTTGAACCCAGTGCCAATAGAAAGTCAGAACCCAAACTCTGCATGTGCCAAGATTTACTTCTTGAAAGCTTGACACAAACCAAAATTATGCTCTCAGTGGGGAACTTAAGAGAACATATACTTATTCATGACATGGCAATGGAGGGAAGTGCAGCTAGATATGGTAAGATGCTGTAGTAATGAATGAAATGAATGCAGAACGTTGTTCATTTCATTAGTTTAGTCTAAAACAGAGCACATAAATTTACAGTGTATTCCCCTCATTTAGCTATTTGGATTCATAACAATGTTTGAGTGGACAGCTAAGATTTTTGTATTTTCAGTTTAAATTAGACTTGCATACAGTCTCTTGTTCACACATTTATTTCACGGTAACCTGAATTTTTTCGCCATTTATACATTCCCAGAATATATTATTTTATTGAAAAAATAACAAAAAATAAACAAGAAAGTCTAAGGTTAAATTTGTAAAATTATAATTTTAACTTTTCTCTATATCTTCCAATTCAGGTAAAACTACACTGATAAAAAGTCTTACTGGAGACCTTGACCTTTGCCCCCAGGACAAACTATTTGCTACACTGGACATCACTTCCCATGTTGGTCAATTGACCAATAGAATGAATGTTATTTACGTTGACACAGTGGGGTTTATATCGGCATTACCGCATAACCTAATAGACGCGTTCTCTGCAACGCTGGAAGATGTTATGTTGTCAGTGAGTATACATATATCTTGACTATAATCTGGTGAAGATATTTGATCTGTCTTGTTTTGTCATATGGCAATGAAACTGTTGCAACAAAAATAATGAAAATCAAAATCAAACAGAATGATAATTATTATTTTGGTCTCTGAACTAAGAATAGTTCGCAAAGATATTGGTGAGTGGGCAGTATAGACAGGTGGTATTCGTACACAGGTTACTCATATGTTATGCCTTAGAACTGCCTAAAAGTGGTCACTATAGACAGGTGATCTTCATACACAGGTTACTCATATGTTATGCCTTAGAACTGCCTAAAAGTGGTCACTATAGACAGGTGATCTTCATACACAGGTTACTCATATGTTATGCCTTAGAACTGCCTAAAAGTGGTCACTATAGTCAAGTGGTCTTTGTACACAGGTTGCTCATATGTTATGCCTTAGAATCACCTAAAAGTGGTCACTATAGACAGGTGGTCTTCATACACAGGTTGCTTATATGTTATGCCTTAGAACTGCATAAAAGTGGTCACTATAGACAGGTGGTCTTCATACACAGGTTGCTCATATGTTATGCCTTAGAACTGCCTAAAAGTGGTCACTATAGACAGGTGGTCTTCATACACAGGTTGCTCATATGTTATGCCTTAGAACTGCCTAAAAGTGGTCACTATAGACAGGTGGTCTTCATACACAGGTTGCTCATATGTTATGCCTTAGAACTGCCTAAAAGTGGTCACTATAGACAGGTGGTCTTTGTACACAGGTTACACATATGTTATGCCTTAGAATCACCTAAAAGTGGTCACTATAGACAGGTGGTCTTTGTACACAGGTTGCTCATATGTTATGCCTTAGAACTGCCTAAAAGTGGTCACTATAGGCAAGTGGTCTTTATACACAGGCTGCTCATATGTTATGCCTTACAATGGCCTAAAAGTGGTCACTATAGACAGGTGGTCTTTATACACAGGTAGCTCATATGTTATGCCTGAGAATGGCCTAAAAGTGGTCACTATAGGCAGGTGGTCTTTATACACAGGTAACTCATATGTTATGCCTGAGAATGGCCTAAAAGTGGTCATTATAGACAGGTGGTCTTTATACACAGGTTGCTCATATGTTATGCCTTGGGACAGCCTAAAATTGGTCACTGTAGTAAAGTGGCCTTTGTACACAGGTTGCTCATGAGGTATGTTATGGGACTGCCTAAAAGTGGTCATTATAGGCATGCAGGTGGTCTTTATATGGAGGTGGTTATTAACACAGGACTGTGACTGTACTATATATTATATTATATTACTTTTCTTTCATCATTTGGGGATAGCTTAGCATTTGTTGATACATCTGTGTACCTATGTGTAACTTTATGTATAACTCAATGCGACACTGTATTTGTATAAACATCATTGCAACTAGGTGTTCATCCACACTACATGCCGGCTACAAGGGGCATTATTTACTAAGAAAGCTACACAACTTCGAAGACTTTTCAGAGTTTTACTAACCACTGTATTTTTTCTTACTAAACTGTACCAAATATGAGTGGGTAATTGCTAATGGGACTGCCTAACACAATGCAATATCAACTTCTTACCATTAAATGTTTTTAAAGCTGGGGATTCATCACCTACACATGCGTTAGATGGGCATAGCATGTCAAGCTTTTTAGTGTTTTTAGCATTGTTGTTATCGTCGCTTGGGACTCAATTCCCGCACATGCGCAGGTGACGACGCTCCCACTTTAATTACGATAACTCTCATCCATTATAGGTCAACAAAAATAAAAGGTTAATCTTACATGCCATATTAAAATGCAACATATTTATGACCCGTAAACTACAGACTGTTAATAATTTATACTTTGTCGTTCCATATACATGTATCCTGAAGACTATTATCATATATTATGGGTGTAAACCTATCGCTTACAAGGAGAAAACATTTTATGGAAACCATTTAAAACAGGAGTTTATACTATAAAAATAATGTTTTCCTTTATTTGTCATTCCTTATATAGCTCCTAGCAAGTATCCAAAATTTACAGACATGAATATACTATTCCCTCTGTGTCATATTTGTTTAGAATCCTGGGCAAATGAAAATAGCAGGCCATAATCCTGTAACAACAGACCTAAATAAATAAAAAGGCTCTCGGCAGTGCTAAGCGTAGGCGGTCGGGGGGTTTATAGAAAGTAGACGGCTCTTAACGAAACCCCTAGGTGAGTTATAAGCATTAGGAATGATCACTTGCCATGGAAATTGAGGTCTGACATACACCATCAGACTTATTGAAATCACAACAAAATTTCTACAATAGAACACTTTCCTTATACCTTTGCTAGTTCCACAATGTGCAGTGTTTTCTGTTGTAAATGCATTTTGCCCAACTTTTTTAAATGATAACAAACGACAAAGTTTTTTTTTTGTCGCAGTATATTATAATATTGAAAGCATATTTTGTGACTGAAAACTCACTAGCAGTTGGCAACAGCAGTATGTTGCTTGTTGAAGGTTTGAGATGAGATGCTGCCTTTCTATTGGTCAGAATCATGTTTGAACAAGGCATTTGGTATTCTGTGGAATAGTGAATTGATCCTATATCCTAAACAGTGCAAATTGAGATGGGAATGTAGGGCCAGTGTGAATGTTGATTATTAGGACATTAAGTCGCAGTTAGTCATTCCAGTGTTCATCCTAAGCAAATTTGGCAATTAGTAATGTTATAATTTTTATCTCAAAAATCTGCTTTCATTCAGGTGCATTTGCATATATAATCTGGGGTCGAAGGGTTGTCCCAGACAAACAGATTTTAGCTGGGACAGGTAAATGTACAAATTGCATGTTCCCATGGACAGGTTAAAAAAAATTTTTAACCATCCAAATGGGGTTGCATCAAATTGCTAAATTATGATGAACTAAAATTGAATAATTTATAATAATAATAATAATAATTATATTATAATAATAATATAATAATAATAATAATTTTACATTGGGTTATAGCAAAAAAGTGATATTTTCTGATATGTGATGGAATTTATGTAAATAAATGAATAATATTAGTTCAATAGCCTCTCTGTTGTACATATATAATCAGCTAAATTTGAAAGTTAATATGTGAAAATATTGTTAGAATATTTTTCGTTCAGTAGCATATTTCCAACAAGTCGATCCTGATCTTTGATTAAATTGTCATTACATCTGTGGCATGTGCTGTCTTTACTAGAGTTATGGTTGTGTGTGTCTACCTTTTTCTATTTCCAGATTGTGGTTGCTAATTCTAAATTTTGTTTTTTTTCTCACAGTCTAGCTTATTTAAATAATTCTAGTTTATTTAAATATTTTTCTAAATTGTAGTTTGTCTTAAGTTTTGCATAAGTTCTCAGTTTACTTTTTTCATTTGAAATAATTTCTCTTCATAAATTCACAAATTCACTTTCCAAAGATTTTTTTAAGATGTTATTGATTTGACTTTTTTACTACTAAAAAGTGAATGAAATTTAAAATTGATTGTATTGCTTTTATATTTATATTATTGGGTAGTTTTTGTTTTAGGTAAGCCTATTTTGTTAGATTATCATCTGGGAGTTTCTTTATGTGCAGCCAGTATTTAATGGCCTGTATTTTTGCACAGAAAAAAGTGGACATTGACCTCTGCTCTAGATGCCATGCCTGGACATTTTATTCATTTTTGTTTACAAAATTTAATATTAATTTTGTCAGTTATTGTTTTGTCCCATATTTAAATGTTTCTTGAATTGCCCAATTTGATACATGGATTTTCACATATTTATTTTATATGTTGCAGGATTTAATTATACATATTCGTGATGTGAGCCATCCTGACACTGTGGCACAGAAAGACAACGTTCTTAGAGTACTACAGGAGATGGGAGTACCTGATGAACTAACCAATAACATGATAGAAGTGTGCAATAAAATAGATGTCTTAGAAAAGTAAGTCACTTATAATTGATAAATGTGATTTATTTTTGCACATCCTATTAGAGTACGTAACAGCAGACATTTACGTTTTGGTCACATGGTTTGGGTGGGGTTATGACTACATGTGACCTCAATTATAAACATGATTTTAGGAATGTAATTGTGGTAATTAATTGTTTTCCAGTAGTTGATAATACTGGCACTTGGTTGAATATCACTAATACAAAATAAATATATCAGATCAGAAAAGAGATTGACAGTTTATTGCTCTGAACAATTAATAAAAATAAATATAATTAAATCCGACCTGAATTCCAAGAAAAATAGGTCTTGTGGTCATTGATGTGGAAAGTTATATAGATATAGTTATTTAACATAATAATATATAGTTATAGATATTTATGTCCCTAGAAACCAAACCATTGCCTAGGCAATCACATCCGATACCGCCATTTTGTAGCACATCTAGATAGTGCAATTAGTATAAAATCAATTTTTTTTCATATGTGCTTGAACAATATTGCAAGCGTTTTGTCAACGACTTCCTAGCAACCATGTCTTGCATATAAGATATTGATTATCAGCTTGGTTATTTGTTTTTGGAACATAACAGCCGTGGAACACATTCAAAACATCCTCTGAACTATTTGTCAATGAAAATTATTTCATTTTCATAAATTCATTATTTCATTATTTTCCAAGACATTGATGAAATTCTTTTTGATTCTTGGTCCAAACTTATGATTTTCAAAATAGCCTATTTTAACGTGGAGTAAAGTTTTTTCTTTATGTAGTACAATTAAAAACATAAATGACTTAAAATATAGCAACTACTACCTTTACTGACTCAAGGTAACAGGCAAATAATGCATTAATAAATTGAACTGTGATTAAAAGACTCTCTATCAGTTATTAAGCATGCTACTATAACAACCTATACATATTCTGAAAGCTTAGATATAGGCGAATACGGTATTGCATATTCTCCAATGGTAGAATGGTAGGTCAAAGCAATCTACAAATGCTTCCACTCTATGTGAGGTTTTCAGCTCCTCACTTATTCTGAAGTGTTTTTTGTCAGCAGTTTTTCATATCAATGTACAAGAGACCTGTGTCTTGATTTTTTTTTTCTGTGTGTTATTTTCTAATTTGTTTAATTACATCAAAACTATCTACAGAATTGTTGGTAGCATGTCTATAGTTATTTGGCAATAACTAAGATAGATAAAGAAGAAAATGAGAATCATTCTGTCTACAGTGCTATGAAAATCTAGTGCAAGTTACAGGTTCATCATATACACTGAAAGTGTTAAAAAGTGTTTTTTTTTTCAATATAGTCAGAATAGTCAAAAACGACAGTAGCAAAATTGGCTGTAAGGTGATTTTATGTGTATGGCATATACTCTACTGTATTTGTCTATCTCAGCTTTCAGCTGATCTATCGTTGTTTCAGTAGCATGGGAAAGTCTGTAATCAAAAAATGGAGTCCAGTTGGTTGAATCAGATACTTAAGAGTCGTGGAAATTAGGTCATACAATAATCTTACTTTTATTTCCCCTGAGGGAAAGGTGGTAAGATCACATCTGGTGTACATGACAGCTTTTATAAATAATTGCTGACTGTAGAGACATATTTATGAGTGAATATTGTATTAATTAAAATTATATAAAAATGATAATCAGTCTTCATCAATATGAAGTGAAACTGTACACTACTAAACTCATGCACTCCACACTGTGTGTCAATATCTGATTAGGTTTAAAGGGGAAGTCCAGGCATGATAAAAAAGCTCTGTGAATGCAGGGGAATGTGTTTTATAGCTTATATTCATCTTTTTAAATATTTTATAGTATACAATGTCCACCATTTTGATTTTTCTGTAAGGAATTGTTCGTGAAATATAACATTACAACATCTGTTGCAAAAAATAAAAAAAAATGAATTTGCGAAATACAAATTGTCATGGTGCATATCACTTGTGTATATAATTATATTAATAGAAATGTGCAGCTAATTTTTAGCTGTTCCATGACTGTTCCTCTGAAAGCTGAAGAACCACTAATTGGATTTTGATTAAACTTGGTGCATAAAAACTCTGGGACCATATGCAGACCTGATTAGTTTTGGGTAAACATCTGTGCATACTAATTACCTAATTTGCATAAGGATTAATCAATTTCCGGCTTTTTCACTGATTTGTAAAGTATATGTACTAATTATCACATTACAATGAAACTTGGTACTTAGATGTCATAGATAAATGCACAGACCTGATAAGATTTGGATTAATATCCATATATATTAATTACATAATTTGCAAGTTTAGTAAATGTTTGGCTTTTCCGTTGATATTTCAAGTACTAATCATTACATTCCTTTGAAACTTGGTACATAAATACTCTAGAACAATACACAGACCTGATAAGTTTTGGGTTAATACCAATGCATATTAATTACTTAATTTGCCTAATTAGTAAATTTTTGGCTTTTTTTCTGATATTTCAAGTACTCATTAAATTTCAATGAAACTTGGTACATACATAGATGCTCTAGGACTATGGTCAAACCTAATTAGTTTTGACTAAAACCTGTGCATAATAATCACCGAATTTTCATAATATTTTTTTGTTCTAATCACATTTTAAATGAAGATATTTGTTTATATGTGTGTAACACATTTTCATTGTAAAACAAAGACAGGAACGTGAAATACTAATCATTATGATCAATTTTTAAAAGGCTGTGGTGATTAACACCTCATAATAGAGGTAAAAAAATCACATAGTGGTGTTCTAATTGCAAAAGCAGGCATCAGAGGCTTGTCTAAAAATAACATTGCAAACTGATTAGCAAATTTGATCTGCATTGGATTTCAAACGTTGTGTGCAGCGCTAGTAAAAATGACATACTACCAGTAAACTAAGCCTGATTCTTGCTCTTACAAATCCATGTAGATTGAAAACATGTCTTCAACTTGGCTCATATTGAGAAAGTTTTGTTTGTAAAAAAAATGGAATCATTACTTCTGCTTTTAGTAGTGCAGACATAATCATAGACCTCAGAAAATAAGGTCTATGACACAATGCACTGTAATGATATAATCATAACAATAAGACTCATACAATGCCATTAAACTATAATGTTTCATTTCCAGACAAACGACAAACCCTCATACTAGACAGACAGCAGGTATAATGGTTTCCGCCTTGAATGGAACAGGACTTCAATTACTGAAGAAGGAAATTGAAAAGAGTTTGTTAAAAGTAACAGACATTGTCTCGAAGACGTTACGAATACCTATGAATGGGCCTCAGTTGAGGTGAGTGACCTTTATTTCAACAGCAGCCAATGGTTTGAATTATGTTTGTGATAAGTCGTACTTTGAAGGTTACCGGGGGGGGGGGGTATTTTATATAATTACTCCATGACATCTAAACTGTACTGTGTGAGCATTTATAGAGCTTTATTTGAAAATGTTATGTGAAATATTAAATGGATTAAATATATATATTAAACATTAAAATATCAATGCTTTTTAGCATGTCAGATTACTAGCAATTGTTTTTGCTTACCATTTGATTTTGATTTTAAATTTCCTTTGTACTGCCTTTGAATAGTTTTTCAATGTGCAGGGATTATTAAGATTCACTTTTGTTCCAAATTATTGTAGTATGCAGTAATTCGAAATGAGACAAATTCCTGGTGAATAATTGTCCAATAATTGTCAGACCAAACTTTTCAAGGCGAGTTTTCATTCCAGTCCGTATCCCTTGCATAAACTATCACTCTTCTAATCTGTACCATTATAAAGTGTTGTAATACCACAGCTTTCGAAATCTGTCATATGTTACTGTGTTGAGCTGAATACCAGAATAATAACAAGGGCCGAATGTGTAGTTTACCTATGATGTGAGTGATTCAAATCATATGTGTGTGTTGAACTTGTGAGACGAGAAATAATTACATTAAATAGGAAAAGATTGTCAATACATAATTAGGCAAAATTGTAATTATTTCTTTCGTAGTCTAGTTTTGTGTTCACGGTACACTGTTGTTGAGTTTGTTTTGTTTTCTACCAAAATAAAAATCCAATGTGTATATGTAATTAATATTTATTTACATGTGACATAATAATGTGTAGATGCATGATGGAATTCAGAGGGAAATAAACGACCTGGACGTACATAGTAGGATACACCTGATATACGCATTACCTATAAAGCCGAACAACAGAGAGACCACTGCATAACTGCATAATGTCTCTTTTAAAATAATTCAAGTACTTTGTAACTATAGATAGTTGACATGTATTTTCTAATATTTTCTTTTCTCAGCTGGCTGTACAAGACAACTACAGTGACAAACACAAATGCTTCTGAAGATTCTGAACATTTACATGTTAATGTAATTATGACTAAATCTACTTATGCAAAATTTAAATCGAAATTTGGAGACCTTCGTGTGGGAATGTAAGATATATTAGTATTTTATTTCTAATTGATCTTTGCTCTGGTTTCTTGTTGTTTTTGTTCTGAGAAATTGAGAAATGAATAAAACGAATCTGTAATCAATATGCTTTCTTTGGGATACAGATGATACAATTGATTCTGAACAGTAGTTTGGATAATCAATGTTCTGAAATAATTGATCACATGATGTATACATACAATACTAATGGAAACTTTCTTAGTCAGAAAATGAGAACTTAGGATTGACCTCCATGTGTCTGTTCATCCATATCTCACAGCATATGCTTGCACTGATCAAGCTCACACTTCATACATACCAAATTAATGATGGCCGATTAGCAGCCACTTTAATGCCAACAAATCCATCATTTTCATCATTTTGGAATTGAGAATCTATCATGTGTTAAGTAATTTGATTTATTGTTAGTACATATATTAAACACAATAGCACCTTGATGCACTGTATTTTTATTTATTTGTTTTAATCAAGTTCAAAATGGTTAAATATTTAGCAAATATTTTGTCATTTTAGTAAAACAATATAAATTGGATGTGAATGATTTTTTGGAAGAAGTTCATGACAACCGAGTACGCAACTACTTTCTTGTGGTTGAACTCAATCTTTGTTTAATTTCAAACATCAAGTCGCTTGTTGGAGAGTATTTTTGTTATTTGATATTGATATATTTGATATGTTATATAGGTACAGGTACCTTGCTTGGACGGACTTCTACCAGATTCGTTTGAGACAGTATTATTCTTTTTTTCAGTGAATATTTTTTTGGCATTTTTGGATGGACGTCTATTAGATTAGATAAATCTTTATCTTCACACACGATTTTGTCATTTTTGACACAAAAAGATATTTTCAACTACTTCTTGAAAACTACCAGTCCGATTGCTTTGTACTCAAGGTGTACATAATTTGTTTGAAATTTGGTTGGCATGTTGAACTACTTTTTCATAGGTTAACTAACTGCGTTTTGTCTTATGGGTGTGTTACTTGACTTGGCTACCACAATGTTCTTGAAGGACAGCTGAGCTATTTCAACTATTGTTTACAATTCATGCTATAATATTTTATAAGGTACATTGAGTTTAATAAAGTGTATGTACTATTAATTGAGGAACACATTGGCTAGTATTTTTTTATTTCTGCACTAATATAGTTAGAAATGTTTATATAATTCATGTTATATTATTCTATAATGGAAATTGAGATTAATACAGTCGTAGTATTCTTTGTTTTATGTAACTGTGGTGATTTTCTGTTCATAATATATTATTGGATTGTTTCATGTCTATATACATGTACTCACTTTTGTCATGCAAAAAAGATAGTGCATGATTACTTTGCTATCCATCCATACATAAGTTACTTAATCTAGGTTTTCAATTGACAAGGTTGTAATAGTTACACTATGTCATTTTTCTGATTGATTGCAAATGGCAGACTGTCAGCCATTTGTTTCTAAACGATGCATCTTCTACATACATGGACTGATCAAGTTAAAACTTCACACATACATCAGGCATCATCTTGGACACCATCAACACCGAAATGGCTGAGTGGCGGCTATCAACGATTTCAGTTCCAAAGAACCAAATCTCGTACATGTTTGTCGATTTTATGGTTATCGTCTCGGTAGTCATGTGATATCTCATGCTTATAATAAAAACTGGGACTAGTTCATTGGTTACGACATGTTTGTGTATATCTGCAAATTGGCATTAAATTGTGTGATCATGTTATGTTTTTTGCTGTTCATTAACAATTCCAAATCCTCTCATATTAGGAGCCCCAACTATCCGAGTAAAGAGCAATGATACATTTGCATGTATACACGTTTAAGGATGTATAAAGCATGCATTCAACTAGAAAAAAACAAACAATTGTAGCGATGGTTTAAGAGGATAATACATTTCAAGATACAGTGTGTTTTATTTTTTTGTGTGATTTTTCACGCATAAGAAAACATCGGTATTTGGGTTAGTCTAGAGAGTTGATCTCGACTCCCAGCTGCTCCACTGCGGTGATTTTTGGCATAGGTATTCTCTGATAGCTGCTAATGAAATCTGGCAAAGATGGTTTGTCTACCACTTTGAATTTGGAAAATACGACACCCCCCCCCCCTTGTGAACTTTGACGATGTTTTTAAAAAATTGTAAAAATCTAGGTCACGCAACAGTAGACGAACTGGGAAATTGAATTGAAATCTTTTATAGTATCTCTAAGTACCGCGAACATAATTTCTGTGGCCTTATTTCAGTTTCTTTGAAAATAACACCTGTTTGCGCAGGGAATCGTGATTACACGGTTCCATTTTTTGTTTGAATATTTATTTCATTTTATTTGAAAAATAAGGTTTCTAAAAATATATAACTTGATGAGATTCAAAGAATATGTTACTTCAGAAATGTGCTATGCAATTGCAATAGCAATAACCTTTTACTACAACCTTAAGATAAGCGTTGTTCGTCGACAAAAAGGTTAAGTGATCCATTACTACAATAGACCATATTCTTTCAGGCCAGGATCACGATTCTGCTATGCTGATTCATTCCTTTGTAAATATAAAGTTTGCTCATTTACAATGAATCTATTTTGGTGCCTTTCAATCGCAGTAGCGAGTAGCGTGATATTTGAAGTGGCGATTTAGGCACACATTTAAACCTTTTCTCTCGGTAGGGTAATAGTTCAACAAATTGATAAACGCGCTTGTTCCTCAATTCCAATACACGCCTTTTTTTCTCATAGAACACCCTAATATTTAAAATATTAAATCCAGGAGAACATTCAGGTGAAAATACTACTTTTTTATACTGTGACTGTATAGCTTATTTCTGCGCATGCGTGACCGCAGTTTCATGTACACTAATAGCTCGGAATAATATTAGTTTACAAATAAAGGAAGAAATGAAATTGATACTGCCTGGAGAACTCTGATATATTTCAGAAATTCGTCTAAGTGCAGAGGAAATCGTACCCGAACCTTTCTAGAAGCAACACTATTTCACTAGTCTAGTAATCGTGGGAGACAGCGCTCCTGATTCCTGATTACACGGGAAGAGTTATCAAACACAAATTACTCTCCGTTTTAACAAGTCACTGAACAGAATACAACGTATGTCTAAAATATCCAATTGAACAAAAGACGGAGTGAACAAAAGACGGGTGGGCTTGCAGCAAGATCCATGCTAAAGGATTATCAATTTCCCAAATCCAACTGTCCTCGTTCAGTTTTCTATTTACCGTGACATACGAACAAAGTAACTACGTATATCGTGATTAAAAATAACTCTTACAGATTCATATTTAGTATTCTAGTAAGTTGACAGGAGTAAATAATTAACAATACATGCCGTTGTTACATTTGTCATGTCAGTGGCAGGTGGGGAGGGGGATATTTTTATTTCGAAATGCAAATTATTCGGGCAATACATGAACTATGTAGGTCTTGGCTGAGGTGAAAGGCACCTTGATTCTCTTAGGAGAGCGATGTTTAAAAATATCCCCAAATGCATTCATCTTGGCAACAATAGGTATTTTGTTAGTGTACAACGTCGTGCCATATACCTTATATTATGCCAGTAGTCGTGATAATGTCACATTAGTTTTGTGCTATTAACATAACAATGACTCGTGATACCAAACGTACCTGGTACGGAAGCTCCCTCAACTTGATGAAAGTGAGAATGCTTAATCCATCGTAATTGACTGCTCACAATCGCAGCGGAACAAAACAGAAACGGGACAATTCACAACGGGTTACGGACAAAACAGCACAATAATACACAGATATATCTAACTATTATGAACATATCAATATTATACAGACTACACAGCTCTGGCCGTGCTTGGTAGAACAATGATCAGTCGTCTGGGGGATCACTTTTGCCTTCAGCAACAACTGCGCATGAATTTTTGACTCGCCAAATGACGTAGTTGTTATATACGAGGAAATAAGCAGTTGTTATACTACCTTGCTAAAGTGGAGATAATAAATATCGTCACGATAGTGTCGACAGTTTTGCGATTATGGTGAAACCAGGTGTCTACTCGGTCGATTCGGAAAAAGACAATGAGAAGAAAGATTTGAAAAAATTGCCGTTGCAAGATCTGCCTTTAGCGGTACGTATACCCGTAACATACATGAACACATATATTGGAGCTGTCAGTTACTGCGCAATAGCCACAGTCTATCATACCGCTATAGCCATAGTCCGTCCATGGAGCTAGAAAGGGAGGCCCATCACACTGGAGCTCAGTAATAATAGAGTTAAAAAAAACAGTACACTATAATCACAAGTGCAAAAAACCGAAAAGTACTAAATTTGTCGAGATTATTTTATTTATAAAGTTAAGTGAACAGATTATCGAGTTTGAGACAGTATATTTGAATTTTCTCGAAACAACGACCGTCGAAAGCTTGCACAATAAATACTACTTTATAATAGGTGATTTTACGTTCAACTGCGAGAAATCTCGTATTGCGTGAAAGACGCGGACCGAACGTCTGCCGCAAAAATCGAACGATTTGATTTTGAATTCGATTTTTTTATAGCTCAAATTCGAAGGCCGATCTTTGACAGGGGAATATTGCGTTTAGATACCCTTACTTCATCGAAATTGACCACCATCAAATGTGAACAGCACATTATTATGCGTGGAAATACCCACAGAATACTTCCGCGTTTGTCGAACCCCACGCGATATTTTACGCCGTTACAACGCTACGACATTTGTTTGTTCTGTTTTTATGTTCGATTTCACTCATAACGCGGGATCCCGCAGTGAACGGAAAATGGACTATTACGTTCCTTATCACGTGACCTATGAACGCGGATACGTACATCCGTGTAAAATAAACATAAATAGTTATAGTTTGTTTCTTTTTTTCAGGGTTCAATTTTTAAGTCTTGCAGAGCTGCTAGCGTGGCGAATGTAATATAAATGTCGGTATGCCACAGTCTGACTGCAAATGGGTGCGAAATCGTGGCGTGATATTGCGTTTTATCACAAACGCTATTTGGTGCACAACTCGTCCATGCCGTGCACAATGGTTACGTTCAAGTTGTCTGGCAACAAGCAAACGCTTTGTCGCGTGTTTCCATGAGCTAGCGGACTTGTATTTCTGGTGTTTAATAGAAAGGGGAACTGTTTTATCTTTTAAGACTTCCAAATACTGCAGACTGATTAACATGTCTCCTCCAACTCGGAGAGTTGCGTCGTAAACACCGGACTGCAATAATATTCGGTTGTTATATTCGCTCTATTAAATGCCATTTCATCGGAATGTTGCAAATGAATTTAATTTGAAATATATTTTATATATTTTAAGAGCGATTAAAGTTTACTAAAAACATTCGCCATTGTACAAGTGGTTTGTACATCCGTCGCCCAGCTAGGATGTACAACGTGTAGATGGGAGTCTATAGGCGGTTCACTGGTCAGTGACACGAGGGAACCAGGAAAACTGTAGTTCGATTCTGGTCGGGGAAACTAGATGGGAAGGAAAACTAGACGTGACACTGGTAAGGGAAAGTATTGACCGGACGCCGGGATGAAAAATGTGTAGATTGGTTACTGGTCGTGAAAACTTATAGACGGTACATAGAAAAGGGCAACGCCTAGACATAACATTAGTCGGGGAAGCTGTTAATTAATTGTTAACTGTTAATTGTATCCGTCTGTCTATCTGTCTGTCTGTCTGTCTGTCTGTCTGTCTGTCTGTCTGTCTGTCTGTCTGTCTGTCTGACTGTTTGTCTGACTGTCTTTGTCTGCAATGAAATATTATTAGTTTGAATTATTTGCCCAATTAATCAAATAATAATAATAGCGAATTGTGATTAAATGTAGTACATACCGGGTATACATGGTGTAATGTGAATACATAATTAGTTTTGGGCCACATCTGTGCATATTAAGTAGCACAATCTCAAGCGTATCATAACGGCTTTGATCAAATTTGCTATATAATGGTGATATGTCTGCTGTCTGATGACCCTAACCTCAAATGCCATTGTTCCTTCACTGAATGTTGGAAATTTCATTTCCTAGACATTTTTCTTTAATAGAACAACAATGACTGCATGTATTATGTATTCAAACGAGAGCTTTGCAGAGTGATTGAGTCTTGTTCTGTTGGCCATTCAACATTGTTTCACACACTGTAGTCTCTCTGCTCTGTAAAAGTCACCATTTAGGATTCGCTGCTCGCGTTTTGTGATTCAAATTTGGATTATGTATTCTTTAAAACATTAAAATGAATAAAAATACCATATGAAACAATAAATTGTCAAATACGCCGAACAATCGCAATTAGACCCCCGAGTTACGAGTTGTCCCCATAGCAACCACGAGGTGTTATTAAAGCATTAGCGCCCAACCATGAAATAATAATAAATTCCCCATCAAATATATTTTCATATATATTAACCGATCGACAATATTCAACTGTGTTTGTTTATTTATAATAAGCGTATATATAGCGACAAAGCTATACTGTGACGATATGGCATATCGTTCAAAACGTTGACAAGGTTCCGAGCTGAAGTCCTCCACCAACTACACGACTCAACCAAACAAAGCAAACCCCATTACGTCATAATTTTGACGAAGCGATCACGATTCGTCGTCCAATACACGACGAGTGTATAGTATATTCAGTAGACAAATATTGTTCAGTGAGTGAGGTAATTTCCCAGTGATAATAAATAGATTGTTAAACGACTTACACAAATATGGCCGCCGTGTCTCCCAGTATACATAAATGGTTGCATGTGGTACAGATGTACTCACTAACACTGTTTCGTACAATAGCCGTTTAAGAACATAATAAATATGAACCGAAGTGCGCAAGGCTGGCTACGAATTGCAAGTCTAAACGTTTTGTCGATCACGTGGAACACGTCGTAATATACGATTTAATGAAACTGGTATCCGATCAAGTTCAAGGGGGTATTTGTGTTTTATTGATCATCTGATGTGGTCAAATGGAATCCAATACTAACATTTGCATAGCTATTTGACTGGATGCCCTAATTTGCATAGCTGTGTGACTGGGTGACCTAATTTGCATAGCTATTTGACTGGATGCCCTAATTTGCATAGCTGTGTGACTGGATGCCCTAATTTGCATAGCTGTGTGACTGGATGCCCTAATTTGCGTAGTTGTATGACTGGATGCCCTAATTTGCATAGCTGTGTGACTGGGTGCCCTAATTTGCATAGCTGTGTGACTGGATGCCCTAATTTGCATAGCTGTGTGACTGGATGCCCTAATTTGCATAACTGTGTGACTGGATGCCCTAATTTGCATAGCTATTTGACTGGATGCCCTAAATTGCATAGCTATATGACTGGGTGCCTTAATTTGCATAGCTATATGACTTGGTGCCCTAATTTGCATATCTGTTTGACTGGATGCCTAATTTGCATATATGTATGACTGGATGCCCTAATTTGCATAGCTATTTGACTGGATGCCCTAAATTGCATAGCTATATGACTGGGTGCCTTAATTTGCATAGCTATATGACTGGGTGCCCTAATTTGCATATATGTATGACTGGATGCCCTAATTTGCATATATGTATGACTGGATGCCCTAATTTGCATAGCTATATGACTGGGTGCCCTAATTTGCATAGCTATATGACTCGACATCCTAATTCACATAACTTTTTGAAACTGGGTGTCATAATTTACATAGTTATATGACATGATGGTCTTATTTGCATGGATATTAAACTCGATCTCATAATTTGTATCGCTTTTTGAGACTCGGTGTCCGTCACGGTATTTGCTTAGATACATGACTCGGTATTTTAATTTGCACATATTATACTCATATGTAAGATTACGTCATACCGCTTTCATATACACGACCATACTAGATGATCCACCATATGGTCCACAACTTGTTAGCCTAGATACGAAACATGCATTGCATTTGTTTTTCCCATGAAAACTGGGATTATAGTACGGTATGGCATTGGGCCCAAAACCAAGACTATTTGTTTTTAGTTTACGCTCTAGTTTAAAATCAATCTCAGTTGGTGATCTATGACCATGAATATTCAAATAACTAATGTTGTTGCTCTCCGGTTGCTGTTGTTGTTTTCAAATGTTGAAAATAATTATTTATTTCTATGATCACAGTGGTTCATATAAACAACCACTGTACATAGTACTACATTCCTAACCAAACGCGGTATTTACGTATATGTTACTTTTTAATCATGTTTCTGGAAAAGTACAACATTTAAACAAAACTATTTTACTATCTTTTTTTGTTAGGTGGGTGTGGTGAAGATCTTGCCAGAAAATGCCAGTGATGCAGCCCCCAAGACATGCTGCACTCTGTGACGGTTGTGTTTTCTAATACTTGCTGTGATGCTGATTTTCTTGGCGATTGGAGTGGGCGTCATGACATATCATTTACTTTCACGAGATGAGTATGGTCACCACAAGGTAAGGCTGCTTCCTAATTTGTTCAACTAATTTTTTACGGTATCAGTTTATACCGGTACTATATCAGGTCCGACCAAATGAAATGTAACCAGAGCATGATTATACAGTCGTCCCGACGCATGGAGTCTTATATATTTGTCTTTCGACCAGTTACTCTGTTGAGATTTCGCAAGTAAGTTTCGGAGCGGACTCGCCCGCAGATGGTATCAGCTGACACAATCAGAACGACCTCACTTCCCTCAGGTCAAACGGAGATAAAATTAGTTATTATTTGATTAATTGGGCAAATAAATCAAACTAATAATATTTCATTTCAGAAAAGCAAATTTGACTGTCATGTCACTTACGAGGAAGATAACCCAGACAAGGACAAACAAGAGGGCGAGCAACCAGTCGACAATGTAAAAGTGGTTAGTATACCATCCTTAGTATCGGTGCTAGTAAAATATTAGTTCTTCGTAAACTGAAACATCGTTCTTTTTAAAATGAGCTCGCGATTTGAATTGAAACGTGTAGTTTATGATAACAAACAGTGTATTGTAGTATGTGCTGCGACCAACGTGCAATATCAATTACTAATATTGCATTCATATTTAAACATTTTCAGCCCGATGTATCAACAACGTCAGAGCCTGGTCAACATGTGATTATACCACAAAGGACAACTACGATGAGAACCACCACAGTTTCCCTGGGATATCTGGACGAAGAAATCGAGATAGACGATGAAACAGAAACGTTTGAAATCCCACCTGGCGATGGCTGTGAACGAGTGACTATAATGCACGATTTTACAGCGGTGGGCAGAATTTGTTTTCTTTGCTACCTTATTATATTATTAATTATCATATAATTATCATATTAATTATATAATTATATAATTAATATTAATTTTATAATATATTAAATTATATTAATTATATAATTATCATATAATTAATTATCATATAATATAATCAAGAAAACACAATAAATTATATTGTATTAACATACGTATGTACACAATCCCAGCATTATATTCATGCACGTTCATGAATTAAGGTTCTAGTTTCGACTTAATTTATCTAGTTTCTTCATAGTTTTTTGAATATGTATTTAATTATTTATTTAATTATTAATTTTTTGGAAGTTTTTGTACGTAATAATAATAATAAAAAAAATAATATAAATTTAAAAATAATACACACTATACATCAAATTTTAATCAGATTATATTGAAGCTTACAGAAGACATATTATCATTTTCTGTTATTTATCGAATCAGGGTATATCTGCTTATCGAATGTGGGAATCAGAACTGTGTTTCGTGAAGCCACTGGAGTCAGAATGTATGCCTCCCTGGATGCTGGCAAGGCGAATGTCGGTACGTAAATAAAACATACATCATTCATGATTGCTATCAATACAAACAGTGTTCGACTGACTGTAGTTTGCAATGTTGTTTTAAAAGTTCTTCGAAATGTATTATCCTTTTTTTTTAAAAAAAAAACTAGTAAGAGCAATTGCTAACTTTAACCCATGCGAAGTCGTGTTTGACACGGCTTCCATACAGCGTACACGACGTACTAGTATGCTTTATTCACTTGAAATTGTATAGTGACAAAACCGCCAGGCTGGCCGAAGACGACGAACTGGGCAATATTGGTGCAGTGCATATACTACTCATCTATAAAACATTCCGTTATTATTTCAGAACCCCGAATATTTGCGTCAACACTTCTCCATGGTACGAGAGAATTACGTGGCTGTTCCACCTGCTATCCCGGACGTGTTTACACTGGGACCGTTTGTAGGCAATCTGTGCAATGGCATGTTGACATACTGGCTCGAAGAAGCTATTGAGAGAGAAGAGGAGCCGCATGTCCCAGGGAGCGAAACGGAGAGCTCCGAAGAGTCCGAATCCAGTGATAGTAGCTGGATTCCATCATGGTGGCACCACGGACCTCCACTTCCTCCCAGGCACAGAGGGCGTCGCGCAGGTACGTATCTCGTGTAATAGCAATCTGCCATTGGTAGGTAGTTTGGATGCTGATCACGTGAAATTACTAATAACTTACATAGGTAATTTATCACATGATGTTAGAGGCATGTGGCTCTAACATCGGAAACTTTATATTGAACACGGCCATATACCTGCATCAAATTTTAATCAGATTAGTCAGATGAATGGGATGGTCAATGATGGAAATTATTAACTTCTCTTTAGTGTTTCACCGTGTGTATTATTAATGGTTGAATTATGCCAATGACATATTTAAATATCAATCTACTCTCACTGTTACCATTGTCATATTATTCCAGTAGCCAATTTGAAAGTGGAGACAAACAAAGAGACCAAGATTCGTTACTGGGATGGCACCCCAAAAGTCAAGGAGATGACAGTTCGATACAAAGTGGATGAGTAAGAATACACTCGCGGACACGTACATTAAAGCAGAGGCTGGCACCGTCTGGAGTCATAGCGAAGAAGTGACATCTCGTGATTTTAAGCTTGAATTTTCAGACGATAGATGGGTTGAGAATGCGGATTTAACACATATTTGAACATACTTATACTTTTATTGCTTTTTACAAAATGTACTCAGATTGCAACAAATGCTTTGTTTTTAACTTACACCCCAACGTACGCCATAGTTGTCAAACAGCGCGGCGTGCATTAAGAATGGGTGTAAACATTTTACACTCGTTGTATTCGTCGCTTGGGACCCACACGACGCGCTGTGTCTCCCATGGCGTTTTAAATAACTAGCCCTCAACAAATAATGTTTTCTCAGATCCCTTTAAAGGATAAGCAAAAATAGTCTGGTTGCCCCGGATGGATTTTAGTTGATAGCCGGTAGTCAATATTGACTGTATGTTATTCTCATTACTCACGATGGATCATCTAAGGGGCAATTGAAAATCCAATAAACACATTTCACAAGGCTGCATTTAAATTGACATTCAGAACGCTGACTTAAATATTTAATCGTCATGTTGTTGGCTTTCCTACTGGAATTTCAGAAACATATTATTTTGTCTGTGGGGCACCTATATATACCTGCAATATATCACTGAGTACCTTGATGTGGAGTGACGAAATTTGAAATACTAATAACAAGGAAAAAAACGTATTTACATCTTTACATTTTTATTTTGAAATATTACATACAATGTCTAGTTTGTTGTTCAAGTTCATTTATAAATTGAATTTAGACTCAGACATCTAATAAATAATATTAGTTGTCTGAGATTTAGATAACTTTAGCCTGTTTGAATATTTTTTGGCATCTTGATAAATTAACTAAGACATAATTTATCGTAAAATGAAAACGATAAAATATTGGCAAAAAACAATTGCGCATGCGTCCCGAAATTACTTATACACATATACGCACGGTGATCAAATTATAGCCTAACAATTTAGTGATGACGGATGAATATTCATAGTTACCCACATTGCGTCAATTTGCGCAATTTGTAAATCGTAGGAAAAATGTTGGTCACATCATGGTTGTTACTGTCCATAACACGGTCCTAATTTTACAACCATATTCGAATATTGCGAAAATAAAAACTTTCTACATATAACCGACATCAACATGTGATTACATTGTACTTACAGTGTATCGCATTTGGTAATTTTCATAGTATGGACAACAGCCAATACTTTGTTATACCTTTCTTTATGCAAAATATGCGATCTTATTGTATTTTTGTGACTGTG